CGGCACTGCCTTCGCCGAGCTTGACGGCACCGCGATATTCGGCCTCGACATCACGACCGGGAACGCTGAGGGGTCGTCCCTCATGCTCCACAAGCGCACCAAGACTCGCGAGGGGTTGGGGCGCGGGCCAGCGGTGGGCGAACACAGAGTGCGCGTGCGGACGGTGAACGCACTCAGCGTGATCCGTCACGCGCCGCCTGGGCCGGTCGCGCTCAAAATTGACGTTGAGGGGTATGAGGGACGGCTCATGCGCAACCTCCTCCTCTCGGGCGTGCTGTGTCAGCGCGTGCAGAATTTGTTCGTGGAGTGGCATCTGATGGCAAGCCAGGTTGACAAGCGCGATCTGCACCACCCGGATGAAGACATCGAGATGCCCCCCCAAACGATGGCAGTGTACAAGTGGATGCTGAGCACCTTCAATCCAAAGGCGAAAGCACTAGGGCGCAACTGGCAACCGCTTGCCGACAGCTCGTGTAATTTGACACTGTTGAATTGGAGTTGATCGGCACAGTGCCTCGGCGTGCAACATTCATACTTGTGCCGTAACAAGATCATGCCAAGCTTAACACAGCATATGTGCGTGGTAGATTTTTATCGCGTCCCCCAAAAGTGTTCTTTCCTCTGTCTGAACCTTTAGGACCCTCTAGCCTTCATGCTTCAAATCCTCCAATCCGCGCGCGCGAGGCCTCAACGCTTTCTTTCCATAACTGTAATAACATTATCATTAAATAAATCCCTGGCGGGAACGCAAACGCAGGCGACGCCGACGGGCGTCGGGCGGGAGCGGGAGCGGTGGCCGGTGCACACTCACGTGCAGTCTGCAGGGAGCCAGACCCTGAGAGATTTTTAGCAATACCAAACAACTCTAACACTCACACGTCATTTGGGGCGGCTGGAGCCCCTCCAGATACGAGATAGATCTTTATGGTGGTTTAAAGTTTGGCCCTGTTCACGCGCGCGCGAGACGTGCATCCCAGAGCTAAGAGAGACATCGCGAAAACCGCGCCAATAAGTTGCTGCCGACGAGTTCGCCCAACGGCGGCGCGGCGTGCAATAATTGCAAATAGGAAACCGCGCCAGACCGGCGGCGCTGAAGTGGAACGGCGCCTCGCACGGCGGACACCAGCAATAGTAATAATTGACTTGAGACGCCATGGTAGGACGCCGCCCTGAATGATCAAAGCAACCCGAATAATAATAGCCATTGCTCCCTCAGTGTAAACGACTGTCTACCCTTAGCCCTGTTCACGCGCGCGCGAGACGTGCAGACAGGATTGCCAGGTGAGAGCGAATGGCGAGTACCCTTAGCCCTGTTCACGCCTCGCACAACAGAGAGAGAGTCAGATGCGCTCTGCATATGGTGGGACATAAAAGAGAGCGAGTACTTGGGTGAGTAGGCCGTGCGGTCGACGCTGCCGCGCGCGGCTTTGCGCGCGAGGCGGCGCAGCTTGAGAACGGCCCG